ACTACATTATACATATTATTTAACTCATATGATTCCCACAACAGACCTAGGACAAAGGATCTATCCTCATCCTCCTTTTACATTTGATGAAACTGTGACACAGAAGTCAAGAGATATTCTATGTTCAGATAACTAGGGAAAGGTGGGACCAGGCTTTGACCTGGACTGTCCCCATCTGAAAGAATAAGAGGTTATATAGGAGCATAGGGATGTTACTCTGAAAACTGGCAAGTTTGAAATCACACAGATTCCCTTCATTGGTCACATCTACCTCTTGGACTTCCCACTTGCCAACTTTTACCTACAGACTGGTTCAGATTTTCCTGCAAATCTCATTTGGCTTCCACAGTCTTTGTGCTAAATATTGGTAGCATTGCTACATAAACGAGAGAGAGAGAGAGAGAGAGAGAGAGAGAGAGAGAGAGAGAGAGAGAGAGAATTTCTGAACCCTTTGAAGTAGACCAGCTTTGGTTACCCAGTGCCTTGTGACAGATCCGAAATCAGGATTGTCACCAAATTTAAAGGTGTACAAAGTGGGAGATAGCAAGAGATTGGAAACCACTTTTCACTCAAGTTTTAATACAGAAGTTTATTTCCTTGATCAAACATGAAAAATATCTTTTGAAGGTTTTCAGGCCTAGGAGGTCAGTAATAACCCCCCACCTCTGGTCTAGACTTTCATAACACCTTATGAAGTATGGAGGGAGAAGTAATTTCCCAGTAGTTTCTGACCTTGAGGAATCCTCACCATATGTCGGGCTGTTCCCATGTCTTGGCAATTAGAACAGCTAGAGAAAGGTCCAGGAATCAGGAAGACTGAGGGAAGGAACTGGATGAGTGTTGTCACAGTAACAGAGGTTGGAAACCTCCAGAACTGAGCTAATGCCTGAACCATCTTGATTGGATTCTCCCTCAGGTCCACCCATAGCTTCTTGAACAGCCTGGAATCCCTTTGCCCCTTCCTTGCTCACCTTGCAGGTGACCTTTCAAATCTGTTCCTCCTGGAACCCTCCCTACCTTCCTCATTGGCATTAACACATCCTTCCTTGCTGCTCCGTTTGGGACACATAACTAACCCTGCTTTGTGGTGCTCTGCCTATGTTCATCCAGCTCCCCAGTGAAAAACAAATTCCTCAAGTCCACTCCACAGCCTCTATCTTTACTGCAGTTTTGAATCTCTTACCCAGATGTCTAGCAAGGTTTTACTTGCCACAATGCAGCTTTTTTTGAGATGTCTCAGAAATGAGAGATGTTCTTCGTGTGCGTAGTAGGTTGTAAGATAAATGCACTATGGGCTGCTCTAGTGCAGGGAGAAGAAATGGCAGCTCTTGGCTTCCTCAGCTTTAGTGGTGTCAACAACCCAGGCTCAGTAACAGCAGAAAGAAGACAGCGAAGGGTGTCCCTTTGGGAAGAAGCAGGGCAGGCATTTTGCAGTAATAGCAGTGGGGTAGTAAGATGCTAAGTATACAGAGAGAGAGAGAGAGAGAGAGAGAGAGAGAGAGGCTCAGTTGGCATGATAGCTAGAAGTCACTATGTGAAATGTCATCAATTCAAGAATGCATATAGGTCAAAAACATGACCAATCAAGGCTCTCCAACAATGTGGGAGCAGTTTCACTTCCAAGTAATGTCATTTTAATTTTCCATATGGTATTCCATGAGAAGGCCAATGTCCGCTGAGTCCAGTGATCTTTGCCTATGGGGTATGCCTATTCTGGAATGCCCAAGAATAGCTGAAATCTGAGCACTGCCTAGTCTAACAGAGTTCTCCAAACCAGAATACTGAAATTCCAGTTAGTTCATTTTGTTCTGAGTATCTTCTTTGATCTGACCACAGTGCTCTTTGTGAATCTAGAAACCAGTGTGGCAGAGCATTCAAAGGCAAACGGCTTGCCGTGGAATCTTGTATTAATTGTGAGGTTTGACCTTAGACAAGTCATTTAATTTCAGTGAGCCTCAGAGTTTGCTCATTTAGAAAAATGCCTTTACAAATATTTCTCAGGAACAAATTGGTCCCAGACATTAGGGATGCCATGATGGGAGTAGAATCCATGTGGAAAAGAGGAAGGATAATTGTATAAGAAATTACCCTGGGGTTGGAGAAGATGGCTCAACAGTTAAGAACACTGGCTGTTCTTGCAGAAGACCCAGGTTCAAATCCCAGCACCCACATGACAGCTAACAACTCTCCGTAACTCCAGTTCCAGGGGATCTACACAGGCAATACACTTATACACATAAAATAAAAATAATAAATTTAAAATATATATATATATATAAAGAAATTAACCTAATGCAGACTTGGGCTATGGCAACAGTAGGTACAGGAAAGGGCACACAGCAGGGACTCTGAGGCCAAGGAAGTTTTCCCAAGAGGAACAAGGTTTCAGCTGAGGCCTTGAGGATGACCAAGAGATTCAGTGGGATGGTCTGATTGGGGCTGGGAACAATGGTGAGGTGTGGATAGAGAAGCTTGTGAGACCCCGAAACAAGAGGGGGCCATGGATCTCAGAGTTTGGGGAAAGGAAGGCTTTATAAACTTCGAAAGTGGTTGGCCACCATTTTTCCCCTTTTTGTTGTTTTTCAGGGGTTAGTGGAGTGAAGACAACAGCATAGGGAAACGGGAAAGCTACATCCTGTCTGCCTGTGGCTGCCAAATAGCTTTACAATTCTGAACAAATCTTTATTCACCTGTGAAATCAGGCAAGAAATCGTTCCCCTTTCCACATTGCAGTGAATCAAAGGAAGAAATGTTTGCAGGAGCTTGTAAAGAATCCCAGTGAGCTGGGGGTACTATTATAGGTCTGTACTAGGGAGGCTGAGGCAGGAGGATTTCCAGTTAGAGGCCAACTTGGGCTACATGATAAGGACCACCATCCTCCCAAATCCATTAAGTTATAGGTTCAAGGTCTTGATAGTTCTTTTTCCAATCATAAATAAGCCTAACCCCTTTGGGTGTCAAAGAAGTGATTGTATCAGTATTTTTATCTCCCACCACCTTTCCCAAGGGATCAGGAGATTAATAGCAGTTTCTTTCTGATTAGTATGGTGATATTTCATTTCAGATCATAATCAGATTTTTGTCTAAAGGAGAAAGTATGCAATTAATAAAAGTGGGGTTTTTTTGTAATATCTGTGATTATTCTGCCTAGCTGGTTAGGGCAGACTGCCAATGGCTCCAGGAGGGGGACTTAATCTGACATAACCCTCAAGTTTGGCAAGAAGTCTTTTCTGTTATGAGGGATATCAGGTATGACCACTGAAACACCGATGTTATCAGTTCTCCCTCACATACAACTTCTAGAGTCCTCCTGAACCTCACTTCACTGAACTGTCAAGCCCTCAGAACCCCCCTCTTTTGCTTTGCCACCTCCCTCCCCACATTTCCTCTCTGCTACCTTACTGTCAGACTCTGCATGCTGGTCCCCGCACCACTGCTCCAGCTTTTCCATGCTCATTTAACTACCCCCATAGCATGTTCAGTCTTCCATTTAGTGACTAAATTTGAACAGCAAAGTCTCACCCCCCTCCACCATCTCATTTAGAACCTGAGCCCATGTCTATCAATCTGCACATATATTCAGGCACTTGCCAACACTTAGTCTAGCATTTAGATACTGCTTTGGGGAACTAGGTGTGTAGTTCAGTGGATAGAGTGCTTGCCTAGCATGCACAAAGCCCTGGGATCTATTCCCAGCAAAGCATAAAACTCGGCATGATGTCACACACCTGAAATCCAAGAACTCGGGAAGGTCAAGAAAGTAAAGGCAAGAGGATCGGAAGTTCAAGGCCATCCTTGACTAAGTAACAAGTTGGGAGACCAGGCTGGGATACACGAGACTCTGCTCCAAAAAGAAAGAAACAAGTAAAGAAAAGATTAAGCCTACTTTTCAGGTCATTTTCCTATTACAAAGAACTCACATGTATATTGCTGTTTGACTTTCACAATAATAATGGATGACAAGAGGAGTGAAGTCAATCCTGTTTTTATCATCCCATTTTAGGGATGGGAAACCTGAGGCTTGTGAGGCTCCGTTAACTTGACCTTTGGCTAAGCAGAGCAGAGTTAGCAGTATCCCAATGTTCATGAAGAAACTCTTTTAAGAACCAGGTTATATCCCCCATAGAACCATGTCAATCACATAGCAGATACTTAATTAACACTTCTTGACATGAAATCTATATGCAGCTACAAGGAAATAATTGAAGTGGCATACTATATTGACAAAAATAATTATTAACACTATGAGTCTCTTCAAATATAAAGAACACCTATGGTGTTCTTTTATGGATACTCGGTTAATAGCCTAAGGGAGACTCATGGGTATTTTTCACCAAACTCCCAGACCCCAGGAAGCAATCAGAGGGCAGCCATTAAGTGCAGGTGCCGCTCCCTCTGCTCACATGAGCAGCCCCACAGCCTCCTAGTAATGGATGGAATGTGCTTGTCAGAACTTGCTAAACAGGGTGGACATGCTCTCTTAGCCCTTGAAAACCCAGTCACTGTGCACACAAGGATCCAAATTCCCCCAGCCATCAGGTGGGCCTCAGCTCCACTACCCAACCAGGTGGAGGAGGTACCCTGGAACTGGTCAGAGGGTTCCTACCATTCTGGTTGAAGGTAGGAAGACCTCCCACCACTGGAACTCATTTCCCAAGAACTTCAGGTTACTCTGACCACCTGGCAAAGCCAAAGAGTGACTTTTTTTGTCTTGTTCTTTTATCCACCCAGAATGATACTAATTCTGACCCTGGATACTATAGTTCTTAGAAGCTAGGCTCACATTCACATGTATTATCTGTTCCACCCTAAGGATCCCATAAGGAGGTATTCACACCCAGCTGACAGTGTGTCTGTCTTTAGGAAGTGTGTATGTGTAGTCCAGCATTGTTAGAACTGTAACCAAAGGGCTGAGACAAAAGCCAGTCCCCTTCCTGTCCTGCCCCCAATTTCTTCCAAGGAGATAACACATGCTCTTTCTTTTCTGTGTATTCTTCCAGATTTATCTCCATTTTGGAGACAGAGAAACTGAGGCCCCAAGCATCTGAGTGACTGTCCCAAGGACATACATTGAGTAAGTTGTACCTGCTTCTCATACCATGGGTGGTGAATTTGTGATTCCTAAGCTGTCCTTTAGCCAATGTGAAAACTTGTAAGAGCCAAAGTAAATAAAAGCAGGGAAAACTCAAAGCTGGAGCAGAAGGTTTGGGGCCCATAGACTTATGGAGCCCAACTGCCCACCCACCCCTAATACACTGCAAGGCACTCCCCTTCCCTGGCTGCTCCAAGCCAACCCCCGTCCACAGGAGCTTTTCCTGCCTTCTAACTGGCAGGGCCAGACCCAACATTCAGGCCATTCTTCTCTATCAAGTGTTCCCACCCCATGTCATATTCCTTTAAGACCCTGATACTATGACAGTTTAATAAGCCATGTTTTCTGTATGCTAAAAAGAGATAAAGTCTAAAGGCTGCTAACCAGCCTACAAAAAGCTCAACCCTGAGGCCACACATAGAAGGCCCAGGGACAAGAGCTGTGGTCCCCAGCCACTTCCACCATCTTGTCGTGCTAATAGGGCACTCCCCTGCAATCCCCAGTTTGTTCCATCCACTCTCTCAAATCACATATTTGTAATGCAGTTGTCCCTCTTTATCTGAGGAGGGATATCTTTTAAAAAACCTCCAGGGGTTTCTTGAAACCCCAGATAGCAACAATCCTATACATGTATAGGTTTTGTCTACCATCTGTCTATAACTACAATCAAGTTTAATTTATAAATTAGTCACAAACATTAACATATAATAATAAAACATTAATAATAGTACAATACAATATATTTATATTTATATATACTCTAGTAAAATTGCCAGCATCACTATCCTTGCTATTTGAGTCCATTATTAAGAACAGTTATTTGGGGGCTGGAGAGATGGCTTAGTAGTTAAGATCACTGGCTTCTCCTGCAGTGAACTCACATGCCAACAATTGTCTGTAACTCCAGTTCCAGGCAGTTCAATGTCTTTTTTTGGCCTCTACAGGTATTGCACACATGTGGTGCACTTATACATGCAGTCAGAACACTTATGCAACTAAAAATAAACAAATCCAAAACAAATTCTAAAGAGAAATTATTTGAACAGAAACACTGTTGTGTCCTGACAATCAATTTAATAATCCAGACGGCTACTAAGTGAGTACCAGGCAAAGATGATTCCTGTTCTGAGCTGGACTGGCTGGCCTGGTACAAGACATCATAACACTCCTCAGAATTGTGCACAACTTAAAAAATATGTAAATTGTTTGCTTCTGGAATTTTGGGAGGGGGTCTGTTGGGGGTGGTGTTTTGTTTGGGTTTTTTTTTTTTTTTTTCTTAGTTTTTTGATGGCAGATTGCTAGGACAGCTTACAGGAAGTGAAACCTTGAGTGAGGGAGGATTCTTGTCTTCTCCTTTGGAAAAGGCCTTTCAGAAGGGGAGAGGAATATCTCTGGTGCACAGAGGGGATCAGGGAAAGGGTGAAACTGGTGGCATTTAGGGGCAATGGTCTGCTTACAAGGAGACAGCTGCATGTGATGTCATCTATTGGGAAGAAAGGGTGCTAGAATGTTGGGAGGAGGTACGACTGGTCTGGCACTGGGTAATACTCAATAAATACCTTAGTTCACTCATATGTGTCCTCCGAGGTCATCAACTGTTATTTATCAAACTGGTCAAAAGGAAAAGGCCTCCACACAATGTGAGGAATGCAGATGTAAACCCATCCACAGAGCAAGGGAAGAGCCATCCTCAGGCAATGTGGACTTCTCTATGTCACTCACCTCTGGGATAAAGGAGGCTGCAGCCTGAAGCCTGGTGACTCTGAAGCATTCTACCATACTGTGTGTTCCACAGGGATGAATTATTACTGAAATGACGGTATTTTGGCTCATTCCTTCTGATTTGGTTTGTGCGTTTTAAGCCTTAACACCTCAATATGGTAGCATTTGACTTTTAATTGCCTTGAACTTTTGTTAACATGAAATGAAGGGAGGAAATGGAAAGGAAAATAGAACTATATCTACACTGCTGTCAAGTTGCATAATTGTACATTTTTGCCACACCATTAGTTTCCAACTATTCCAGCCTGTAAACCCTTCCCCCATCATCCCTGAGAAAATAAATAAGTCAGTTTTTCTGTTACTGCTGCAAAGTTCACAGAACTCTAAATACCCTTCTCTGGCATTATAAAGAATTATGCAACTTTTAATTTAAGGTCTATTGTTTAATTACCACCTATGAGTGAGACCTTGAATCACCTAAGTGCTTGGTTGTCCTCCTGCTTTTTTAAAAAACACTCTTTCCCTCCTAAGAATATGACGTTTGAAAACTTAAGGAGCAGTGTCTGGAGCCAGCCAGGAAGCAGAACTTTCTCTTTATTTATGGAATAGAAAAGGCACCACCCTACCCCAGCCACTCCTAACTCACAGATGACCTCAGAGGCTCATGCCTTCCAAAAATAAAACCTCACCTAGCTACTGTACCACGCCCATAAAAACTGCCTCAAAAATTTTTCACCAAGTAGTTTTGAAGAGTGCAAATGAGAGCTGGGTAACCGAGGTCTTTCACTGTAACCATGGCTACAGGTTTTATGAGTACTAAGACCAGGATGTGGTCAGATTGGGTATATGCAGAAGTGTGAATGGCATCAGACTATGTACTCATAAATTCTCCACCTTAGAAATGTAGCTCCTGGTGACTATGATTCATAAGAGGCCGGAAGGAAGGCACAAGAGGGAGGAGGGCTGTGCTAAGAAGAAAAGCTCAGTGTTCTGATTTTAGGTTTAATTCAGCTTTTTAATATAATTCCTTAAAATGCCACTAGCTTACATTTAGATTGCAATTTTTCCTTTCTCCCTGTTCTTTCATGTGTCTTGTCCATTCTTCTCAACAGTCTGAAGAGATATCAAGCATATGTAATGACCTCATTTCTTAGACAAGGAAAGGGCTCAGAAGGCTTAACTGATTTTGTCCAAGGTCGAAGACATGGAGGGCAACTGAACTGGAACAGAAACTGTTTCCTCTGACTCCTAATTTAATATTCTTTTCATTTCACCCCTCTGCCAGCATTTTGTACTGAACCTGAGATATCTTGAGATGTACTAATTCCTCTTGCAAACATCCCTCATCTTTATCATTTGTCTGATTAACCAGAGACCAGGCTCATTCAAGGTGGAGGTTACAGCTGCTAAGACAGGCTGGCTTTTGTCCTCATTTATATTTTCTACCTGCTACAATGGCTCTCCCTACAGAAATGATAGCACAGAGAATAGGTAATGTGGTCTCTACTTGAGGAAATTTATAATCCAGGCTACAAGCTTAAAATGCCTCCAGGGACCAGGTAGTAAACAGTGTTAGTTGAAACACTGGGATCAGAGAAAACTCAGGCCCTTTTAAAGCTCTAGCAGACTGTGCACTTATAGGATGCTAATGTGCCAAATCATAAAGATTGAGGATTTTATATGTTTGAGGAAGAAAATGATTAATAATAATGATAATAAAAATAATACAGTGTATATGTATGGGTATACCTCTTGGATGGCTAGTGGGCATTATGCCTACTCAAAGAAGTCCCGTGCCTTGGAGGCCCATCACCTTCTGACATGTGTGATGTTGGATTGAACTTCTCTCCTGAAATATGCGATCTTATTAAAATCTGAACCCCATCGAAGGGTATAGCTCTGGGGTAGAACATCAGAATGCAAATCAAGAAGCCCTTGGTTCAAATCTAGGTACCCCTGTTGCTACCTGGTTTGGGAGTGGAGAGATGGCTGAGAAGTTAAGAGTACTTTCTGTGCTTGCAGAGGACCCGAGTTCTGTTCCTAGCAACCCACGCTGGAAGGACCACAACTACCTGTAACTCCAATTCCAGGAGATCCAATGCCCTCTTCTGGCCACTGCAGACATTGCATGTGTGTGATACACATACAGGCAAACAGGCATACACATAAATAAAAATAATTAAAAAAAAAAAAAAAAAAACCTGGGCCCCAGGGCCTGGAGGGTTGGCTCAGCAGTTAAGGGCACTGACTGCTCTTGCAGAAGACCCGGGTTCAACTCCCAGCACCCACATGGTAGCTATGAACCATCCTTAACTCCAGTTCTAGGGGAATCCGAAGCCCTCTTCTGACCTTCATGGCATTGCATGACACAGGTGCACTTACATACATGTTGACAATACACTCATACACGTAATATAAAAATAATAAATAAAAATTTTTTTAAAGTCTGAGCTCCAGAAAGTAGCACTAGACATACTATCAGGGCGTTTCCATAAGGTATGGCACATGTGGAAATTCTCATGTGTTGTAGATGAATGATTGGATGGGAACCCACCATCCTAGAAGAGACGGTTCAGAGACTGAAGTTCTTGACCTTCTGAGAATGGTGGTCACATAGTAGAGTGCTTACAGCAGGATCTTTAGGTTCAGCCAGGATTAGATTGAAATTTTATTTTGCCCTTTTGTAGCTCTGTGGCCTTGGACAAATTTTTAATATCTGATAGACCCAGTGTCCTCAGTAGGGATAAAAAGGCCTACCTTAAGTTGTTGAATGAGACCTTGACTATAAAGGTTTGATAACAGAGAGAGAGAGAGAGAGAGAGAGAGAGAGAGAGAGAGGTGTACTTAGTAAGAACTCAACAAATGGTAGCATTTGAGTCAACAGTTCTCATGAAAGATTTATGATAAGACATTTGCCAATGCTCTGTTTGGAGGCTTTGGCTTTCTGAAGTAGCTAAGTCAAAGGCTGGCCAAAGGAAAACAAGTAAGTATTCTAGCTGAAATGAAAAAGAGAAAGGTGATAGCAATGTGCAAATCAAACCACCCTCCCCTAAGAAATTAGATTCTGGAGGTCAGAAGGGGCTGAGCAAGGAAAGAGTGGTGGACAATGAGGGCGAATAAAGGCAGGAGGAAAGCAGAGACAGCCAAGTGTCTGCCCTGGTTTTCTGGGAGCTGGTCAACTCACCTTTTAAAGCAGTTCAGTGACTAATCTATCAAACTGTGATTAGAACAGAAAAACTCATCAGTAAAAATGTTTCTGC